CGCCCAGTTTCTTCCTATAGTCCAAACCTATTGGATCGGATAAAGATCAGACAAAGATTAAGACTATTACAAAAATTGTGTTCCTCTTATGTGTGTGAATGAGTGCGTATCAGCCTTGTGATGGCCTCGCATTTCATTTATAATAAGTAATAATAAACTTTATTTTATATAGCGCCTTTAAAGGTGGCTTCTCAAAGCACTTTACAGAATGACAGCAACAATAAATAAAAAGAATGCACTACATAAATAGAAACAATAGTTGTTTCATGTGTCATTCTGCACATCTCAAGAGTATCATAGTGGCCCAAGGTACTGTATAAGAATCATAGCCCAAGAATTTCTTAAATCCTCTGAACCTACCATGTACATTTCCTCTAAGAGACTCTAACACTCCTTCATCTCTCCACTTCTCTCTTTCTGATATTCCTGGAGAGTAGAGAAAATGTAATTTTACTGAAACCATAGAAATTGATGAGCTTGTATTGCAAAGGAGGAAAAATCATTTTCAAATACACTGTGATCAGGGGATGAGTGAAAGCAGTGCTAAAAGCTAATGGAGTATTAGAACAGCTCTTGAAGTCAAAGGTACAGTACTGTGGCCCAGTGCTGTTAAAAAGGTAGTACAGTGTTACTGACTCTTAACGCCCTTTGAGACTGCTTCATTACCGGCAGTCTTTTTTTTCCAGCAACAGGATGTAGGCTCTTTTTGTTTAACAATTTCTAGTTTGTTCTCACTTTTGAGAGGATTATTCTTCTTCTTATGATCTGTTTTGCTGTAAGAAGTAGCTCATTTCATCTTCATACTCTGCATGCTTACCAGAAAATGAACTATAAACAATACATGGACTGGCTCTTGCATAAATTAATGGAATGTCAGTGTAGTCACTGTTACTACACCCTAATTGTATTCATATTTCATTCGAACACTTTGTAGTGCTGCTGTGTGGCCGTGTAATCTGGTCTATTACCTTAGATCTTGGTGGCACTCTATGACTGCCCAGATGCTCGTCCGTCAGACACATCTGGAACGTAGGCTTGATGAAATTAATTTTGGAGAAAGCATAAAGCAGATTTGCTTGAGTGTTTTGAAAAGAGAAGCTAATTTCATGCCTTCTGTGCTCATTTTTGTTCTTTTCTGCATTCGCAGCAGGTTGAATTTATTTGGATGTTGTTTTCAGGAATGACGATTTATATCTGCAGGGTCACAGAACTGAGGTTAACCAGTACACCCGTATGTTCAGAAAAGTTAGAAATATCCATCCCCATGAATGCCACACCAGGCTCTAGCTGTACAAAGTGAATGTATCCTAAAACTCCTGACAAAGCCCAGCCAAGAGACCGCTGTACGTCTGAGTGTGAGGGTTGCAGTTAATTCTCTATTTTGAGCACAGCATTTTGTTTTTCAGCATTTGTTGCAGAAAGATGTTCATTTCAGACTTGAAAGCTTGAATGCAGATTTCCTCTTTTCCCTTGAAATTTACAATTCGGGGAATTGTATTTCTCGGTTACATCTGACATCTGTTAGAAACACCAAATCAAAACACCTTGCAGTGTCTTTCAACTAGGTGATATCCTTGTTTATGATTCCATGAAAGCTTTGATTTTAGAGAAAAGGATTTCTCTGCTGAGCCATTGAATATCAGTGCACAACTAAAGATCTCCATACGTGATGATGACATCAAGATAGCTTGAGGATGAATCAAGTTAACAATTCTAATGACAGGTGTCATTACGTGATCAAAACTCTTTGGCAAACATTTCCTGCTGATGGCTAAGAAAATAGCAGTTCACGACATGAGGGAAGTCTTTGGGGTCAGCTTTGCAATTAACAATGAAACCTGCATGCTGCCTAGTCACAATTAGTTAAATCTATTTGGCACATTCTTCTTGATTGAATTGTTCTGTGCTGAATTGTAGATACCAAACCTGTGGTTGTTGATTTCAGAGTCAACAAAGTCAAAAACTCCTCTTTGACAGCGAAGACCGCATACAATGCCAAATGAGCAATTTCACTTCAGTCCACTGATTCAGCACACTGAATTGAGGACGATTGGTAAATACCCATACCATGCTCTATTTTCTCATTAACTATGGGCCAATACCATAAAAACTCTTCTTTGTATGATGTTTGCTCCCAGCTGCAAAGCTGAAATAGCAGGACTCTTTTTTAATTCTTGAATAAGAATTTGGCCATCACATTCATTGCACAACAAAAAATGTTTTGGTGACCACATGGCTTTTGTAGATCTGTTTAGTAAAAGAGGATCGTTAACTTTGTAGTGCAGCTTTCAGCCCGTTTGCCTTTTCAGACTGCAGGCGGCTCCCAGAAGCTTTTTCAGACAGCAGCACTCATACTGCAAATTAAACACATACAATTGTTTTTGATGCGTTTGATGCTTATGAACAACAAATGATTTTCCCCACGCCTGATGGAAATAGGTCTTTTGCCATTTCCTAGTTTCTAAAGGATAACTTTGGACAATGCTTGCTCTTACTAGTAATGACCAAGTGTTCTAACAATTTAGAAATGTATAGTATGTATTTCAACAACATTTACTACAATTGTGTGCTACGCTGGGCACCCCATTGACTCAACCAGTACAAACTGAGGTCTGTTGTTCAGGTATCACCATATCAATCCTGGCCAGTTTAACTAGATTGGTTTTGCCAGTCAGTGCAAAATTGGTCAAGACTCAGATTGGCCTAAAGCTGTTTGCGTCATTCATTACTTCCAACGGCAACAGCAACGATTGGAACTATCTTGCAAGTGAAGGTGTTATGATCAACCAAGTTGAATTGGCAAGCCAAGCTCCAAGTGCAGGTGCCCAGAGGGACTCAGGAAGTGGCGTTTGCCTGAGATCCTCCAGCAGACTCAACCTGCTGTGGAGGAGAGTACGTGCAGCTTGAGGGAAGAGCAAGGAAAAAAGAAATGTCCTGCCTAGTCAGTGCCCTTGCAGCGATTAAACCAAGAAGCAAGCGCTTCAGTTAAAGGTAGTAATACTTAGCGTTGGCTCAGTGTCGTAGCACTGGACAGACTGGGATTTAACCTTAAATAAGGAGCTCGATTGGATTGGGGTACGTCAGATTGGTCAGATCGATTAGTGGAGGCTGGGAGATGCATCCCAGACTGAGTCGCTCTTAGCCCAGGTGTAACAAAATTTCTCTGGCGAACGCTTACCGTCCTGTAAGGCCTTACTGTATGTAGTTTTCTTGGTGTGAAATTGCCACAGGTGCTCACAATTGACAATTAGAGGGGTCCACAATCAAAATAAATTGGCAATTTCAAAATTATAACAAAACATGTATGTAGCATGTCAGCCTGTTCTGTCTTGTGTTGGGCAGTTTATGTCAGGAATGAGAACAGAGACAATAAAAAAAGTTTGAAGCAGACCTGGATAAGCCTTGGAGAGCCAAGAAAATAACAAAATACAAAGTAATGGATTTCTAGGTCTGCAGTTTGAAGCACCTGCTGATTTCCTGCTGACACTTGTAAGTAAGGTTAATTAGATGTTTTAAGAAAATTGAAGCTTCTCAATACGACTTGATTTTATTATTGTCTTCATACAAGTCTCTAACTTAAATTTGTGCTTGGTTGCTCTCCTGTACCCATCGGAAGATATGTATTTATCTGATTTTCTGTTGTGGAATTGGTTTGTGGATTTTTTGCTTGACTTTGTAAGCTCCACTGAAACCCCTAAAAGGCTTTTGTGTTCAGAGATGTTCAATTCTCCAGTGTACAATAGATTTGTAAGTCTTGGGATTACTCTGGTAAATGGTCTATGCGCTGTTTCCAAATCACAAACGCTGTTATGTAATGCTGGACTCTGGACCTAGATTGCATTCTGCCAAAGTGTATTTACATGCTTAGTCAGGGTTTATGCACCCTCTTAACTGCTAAGCACATACTTTGCTCACATTGGATTACTGCCAGATGTGAAACAGTAGCGGTTTCAGAGAGTCTTCACAGCGACATTGTAAACTGGCTGGTGCCTGACAGCTGTGTTGCGTTTGGATTTGTGCTATTGTTGTCGTTTTTTCTTCCTGGGTGGGATCCAGATGTCATACCTGTCCCACACATGAGATGCCTTCTGACTTATTGTCTTTATTAAAAGCACAATTTAACAAACAACAAAGTCTGCATTCTCAAATCAGTTAGCTTTGTTGACAAGGGACAGAACTGAGTTTGAAACGAACTATTCCTAGACATACAAACATTAAAGATGGGTCAACTAAATCTTCCTGCATCATCTCTCTGATGTCATGTGCGGTAGGAAAGTTTTCACTCAATATGTCATTGATAATTCTCATGTATCTTGAACAGTGCCAATACCAAACTACCACAGGGTTAGGGGACTTGTACCAGAAGTCGAGACAACTCTGGTAGGTTAGTTGGCTTCTGGAAAAACTGGCCCTGGTGTGTGTGAGTGTGGTCGTCTGTGTGTGCTCTGTGATGGACTGGCGTCCCGTCCAGGGTGTACCCTGCCCTGCCCCTTTTGCTTGAGTAGACTCTGGCTTCCCCTCAATTAGAAAAGCAGTGGGAACCATGGATATTACTCATTAAGAAAGACAAGAAAACATTTTATGTTTAACACTGTAATCCTTCACAAGTCTTTAATTCTAGGTCATGCGAATTCCGCCTTCCATTTTTCACAAAATACCTTGTTTTAAAACATCCTTGCAGGAGAATGTAGAGTCCAATAAGAACCAACCTTAATGTCACACAGAAAAACTACAAAGATCAAGTCTTCTCAACTTTGCAATATATTACCCTGGTTTATAATTCTGTGAAGTGGGCCTGTTTATTTGGGTCTTAGTTTGCATGGGTTGCATCAGGTGAATCTTTATGTGAGAAGCTTGTGGCAATGGTCTAAAATGATATGCAATAAGAGCCTCTTTTGTGAAGAGGTAGTACTGCTAGGTATCTATGCAAGCTGAGTCAGGCTGTGGTGAATAGAATTCAGTTCATCAGAATTCTCTCATTTTCCTGTTTGTTTTCTCAGGTTTCTGCCCTGAAGAACAGGCTCAAGAAAGTATCCACAACCACAGGGGATGGCGTGGCGCGTGCATTTCTGAAAGCACAGGCAGCACTCTTTGGGAGCTACAGAAACGCTCTGAAAATTGAACTGGTGAGTAAATGCATGTTTCAGCCATTGCTCTCCTCAGATAGGTAGGTGTTTCAGCATGCGCAGGCTGCAAATGAAATGAAGGATTTATTCCATGCTGAAAAGAAACACAACTTTTTGGCTGTGAAGGTCACCTGAAAAGGGCTCCACAACCGAAACATTGTGTTTCTTTTCATTTTAGCATGGAATAAACCTTTACTTGTTCCATTGCTCTCCTCGTGGTTTTTATTAAGTTACAAATTGTGATGGACAACCCTTATTTAGTATTTAATCAGTCTGGAAAATTGTTGCTAGGGTAAATTGTTGTTAATTCCTGTATAAATCTGTATGCTGTGTGGTTTTCCAAAAGCTGCGAGTGATGCTTTTGAATGTCTCAGAGTCAGACATTGTAATTAAAAGAGTGTTTTATCCTTTTTGGATTCCATTCATGGTACTTCACATGTTCTGAGATAGATCTGACTTTTTTCGCTCCCTTTTAAGCAGTGTGGAAATCGTAATGCTTATTTTTTGTATTTTTGTTTTTTTATGTATAAGCTAAAGAAAGATTTGATTGACAATCAAAGAATGATGGTAGGTAAAGTTGTTTTACGTCTTGGAACTATTTGCATGCATGCTATTGGCAAACTAATCTACCCGATCCTTAAGTTGTGTTCAGAATGGTACACTGTAATTGGCTGTCATACCAGGACTATGGAAGTTTAGGTGGTGATATTATTGTAGTTATTGTATATTCACTGAATTTGTGAATGTTATGATTTCTGGAATATAAATGCCACATGACAAGCCTGCAGAAATCAAAAGTCCTGTAAAAGCAATTCCAAGTTGCACTTTGTAGCCCCAGTCCACATTTTGCGAGGGACTGTATATAAAATTCTTAGAAGAATATGTAAAACTGGTACTGTTAACAACAGATGAATCGCGTATCATTGCGTAAGGGTGAGAAAGTGCTTAATTGTTCCCTGAGTAATATTCTTTTACATCACTTGCACAGCTGGGCTTGTGCTACCCTGTCTGTTCTACCACAAAACTGTGTGAAGCCATCACCACCCAATATGTTGGTTTACATGCTTCACTACTTGTTTCTGAAAACCACATATGATCACCTTCAGTTCTACCAAAGGTGCTTTTGTGGTTCAGTGTGGATTTTGCTCTTCTCAGTATACTTTTGACACAAAGGTGTCATCACCCTACTGAGATCACCTGCATCACCTTAATGTTCGTGTTGTCAAATGATCTGTGTGTTGTGTGCCTCACGGTCAGCTTGCGGAAACCTACCTTGCTCTGCTCAAGACTAAACTGTGTGGCCAATAATCCCCAATGCATTTTATTCCACCCAGATCTGGAGGATCTATGCCGGTTTCACATTGTCCTGTGAGAGTTCCCAATGACATACAGTGTAGAGTACATGCTGTATGTAGGCCCACCTGGAGCTTTCTTCAGGAAAGGAATACAAACTGTGTGCGTATTTTACATAAATATCCTGCCACTTTTTGTCATTTACTCCCATTTATCTCTCAGGGTGATTTCCATACATAGTTTGAGTTTTTGGAAACTGCAATGACATCCTCTAAACTTAAAAGCTGTCTTGCTTTCAGGAGTTTCAGCTGCTAGAATCTCAATGTGTGCTTCTGATGTTCGCTCTGGCTAATGGGAACTGTGCATGAAACCCCAAAAGTATCTTTCTGGGGGGAGGGAATTTGTCAATCAGAAGGGCAAGAAACTCAACCCACTGATTTAAAAAAAAAAAACAGTCGGAATGGTTTTGGGAAAACTACAGTAATATGTTGTTTGTGGATGTTAGGAAAATGTTATAAGTGGAATTGTGACAGGTGCTGCATGACAGGTATAAAATAGTATCATCTTAAATATTGCAACATTGCACATTATCCTTGTCCCACCGCTAGAATAAATTGTTTTTTGCCTCATTTTTTACTTAACCGGATCATACCTTATATGTGACATCAAAATAATCTTAAAAAATAGAATTGTTTTGGAAAAAGAAGTCATGCTTTTTAGGTACATTCAAAAAGATGTCATGTATTTCTTTAAAATTTGAAAATGGGCTTTGTGAGCACTAAGGTGGTTCTTGACTTGCCTCAGCACAGGCTCTGGGATATGTACTAATTTCATTATTCACTGTCCTGATCATAATGATTTGATCACACTGCAGACAGAAAGAGGACACATGGCACACACATTGATGTGGAGAGAAGGTACAAAGCATAGCATAAACCCTATAAACTGAGCCATTTGGGAGTCTAGTCTGTAGCCTGTGATTGGATGGTGCAGGAAGTTCCTTTGAGCTGTGCACAGTGAAAAATGTGCCCAGTTAGGTTTTCTATAGAAAAGTTAGTTCAACAAATATGCAGTTCAGAGCACAATATTTTCATGGATTGTGTGCTAGTACTGTACATTGAAATGCATTACACATACAGTACCTAGTAAATTAGTCTATGCATCCTTTTTTATACCTTGTTGATAGCAGCTGTATTAGTTATAGACTTCAATCACATAAATTTATAGTCACTGTTTCATGTCTGAGTGCATTGCTTTTTTATTCTCTTAACTGTGTTGGGCTGTGCATTGTGCAGTACGTCCTTCAAAGTCCAAATGTCAAGTTTTGTGAGATTTTCAGACACCCTTATCACTTTCAGTTTAACTTATACTGGCACAGGACTTCATACTTGAGCACTTATCCACTCTTTTCCATTTTCATTGGGACTTTTAAGCTCTTGAAAATTTTGAATACTTTCTAATTTATTAATCGCCGTCCTTATGAAATTCATAAGCACAGTGCCATTGTCGGGTCCTAACGTTTGCTCAGGTGGCATAATCTGCAGGATTTTGTTCTTGAATTTGAATGTGGATGACTGACTAACAAATGTTTTGTGCCTTGGACTCAACTAAGTTGAACTCAAGCTTTGCCAAACACCTTGCATTTCACACATACACAGAAAAGTACAAAATGTAAAAGATGTAAAATAATGTAGAGATGTAAAATAAAACAGTACCAAATCGGATTTTTTAAATATTCAAATATTCTTACCATATGCTGTCAGAATGTGATCCTTCCTGTGTATGGCCCAATGGGTCTATTTTAAAGTCTTATTTCAATGTATTTACATATTTTAAAAGGGGTAATATGAATAAAACAAATAAAGGTGTCAATCAAAACTTGAGATATACGGGAGCTATATGCTTCACAAAAAGAAATTGGCAGAATCTGTATAATAGCATTATAGATGTTAATCTCTGTGATCCTGACACTAAGGTTAGAGGAAGAAAGCCTCCACACTGTGCTTTGTATAATACCAGTAAGTTATAGCACTGGACATGTGCATTCACAATGCTACAGCTGTTAGAGGGACTGCATATGGGAAACTACATACACATTAGCAATCTGTCGCTGTATGACAGCAAACTAATTTGTTATACTATATAAAATCAGTTCAAAACGTATTGCCTTAAGTCTTTAATATATCTTCTTTGTAATAACTGAAATCATAACCTTAAAAGAACACTTAAGCCATTTCCTTTTAGAATTAAATAATGGGGTTGTTGTTTTTTTTCTATGCATGCCCTGTTAAGAGTTTCGTGTAAGAGACCAGTATTAAAAATGTTTAAAAAAAAAAAGGTTGGGAACTTTAACCTGAAGTCGTTCGTGGCTGATATTGGAAATAATCCGTTTGCTAAAATTGTATTTACTTTGGAATTTTCTCAAGCCCTAAGGGCCCGTTGTGGAGAGCAAATAATCCCAAATAAATAAGAGCCATTGTTTTCTGCTGTTTTCCCACTTCAGCCCATTAATTGAGCTTTCTTAGAAGCTTCATGTAGTCCTGAAGCCTGGCTGCTGACATTGTATAAGAGTGAGGGCAAGCATGCCATGTCTTCAGGACTAATCTTCCCAAATAACACTGTAGATGAAAACGGAAATCAGTGCGTGTTTTGTGATTTTTCACAAATTCTACGTGACTTGTAAACGCCTTTTAGTGATCAAAAATGGACATAAAGTTTAAAGTTATTCCTTCACTCAAAATGTCAGTGATACAGGTTAGAATTAGCTGTGTTATGATGCCACTGGAGATTTTGCATTCAGTACATAAGGTAAAGCCCCCTTCTGTGTTCACTTTTGTTTTCTGAAACAAAATGTATTATCCTGTATAGAAACCTGTGGGGAGGCATCTGTTTTTTGCTTGTGTTGCAACTGTTCATTCTGCTTTTCAGTATGTGTATTTTGTATGATTATTAAAATCATGTAACCGTGTAAGCCAGAAAAACAACATGAGTAGTTTTGTGCTTGAAATGTAGTCATGCCATACACACTATAATAATGTAAAGAGATAATAATAATGTAAGGTTAAGACTTTTATGTTAATATTTATTTTTATTTAGTAAATACATTAAATTTAAAATTTTGAGGTATGCCATCGTTCATTAATAAAACATACATTATCGTTAGCTAAAGCACTGTTTACTACAGTTTGTAAATATAATTTCCATCCTGTAGTTTAAATCATAAAATTAACCAGATTCTCCAAACGATACTTTCATGTTTTTCCCTTTTAGTATCCACTGAAACAGGATTTGTTATTCCATAGAATATGATAATTAAATACAGTACGTTGTTAAATACATTCTGAAGTTAATTTGTGTAAAAATGATCTGCCCTTTTTATCCATCCAGTTTAGGCCTACCCTAAAATGGACAAATAGGCGAAATAAATATTATGTGTTGTATCTGTGGCTTTATACGGCATGTGCAAGCATGTGGAAATGCTATGTCCTTTCTCTCCACAACTGCTTGTTGAGTCTCATGTTTATTGCATTCCTGCTGACCCTCTAATAATCTCTTTAGTGATCTGTCAGGATCAGGTCAGATTTAAGAGCTACTGAAATATATAATATTTCACTTCTTATGTCAAATATTATACCACTTGTTATGTATTGGCAGATTTTGGAAGATGATTAAATAGTGAGCTACATACAGAATGGATCTAGATTGTG